TCTTTGTAGATAGATTAAAGCAAAGACATGGCAAACTAGAGCTCAGAAAATCGCTTGTAAAGGACTAACTTTCATCATTTAAGATTGTTGACCCCCTTCGGAAGCAGGAGAAGAGGGGGGATTTTTTCTGAACTGTTTAAACCTGCAGAAGTGAGTGTAAAGTAAAGTAACTTTCCACCGTCTTGATCCTGGAGCGGGGTGTCAAGACTGACGTTTTTTGAAGCTCATTGACCAGAGACAAACGTTTTTGACAGATAGCTAAAAGAAGAGAAACATAGTGATTCCATTGTTCCCCTTCGCATTTTAAAGGAATAAATATTGACAAAATATCTGAAAAAGGAAACTTTGTTGTTAGATTTGTCTTTAAAAGAAAAGAACAAATAGAAGTTTTTCCCCTAGAGGGAGCCTGTGAAACTGTAACTAATTCTGAATCGGGAGCTTGCAGCTGTTACAGATTACGATCGTGGGAATAGACTTCTGACCTTGCAGGACAATGTATTCAGAAGCTCTGCTGTGTGCTCTCTGTAAAACAAGTGCCCTACTGGAACAGCTACATGAGAAGACGGACTTGATGACTGATGCAATCAAAAATTTTGAACAGGCAGTGGGAAATTATATGGAGCCCACTCAGGAATTAAATCAGGAGTGTGCCCTGACAGAACAGATGAGGGAAGAGGATGTTGCTGAATCTTGGGCGCCAGAGATGGAGGGAGCTGTGGCCCAGCAGGAACATGAGCTTTTGGATTTGACAAATGAACTTGGAAAAAGCCAGATTTGGAAAGATAAAGTTTGGTTTGGTTTGGAAATGGGGGGTTGGATAGACCCCCCTATGCAGGGATGTTTGGACTTTTCAGGTCTGGCAATGGGCCGTGAGATGTTTGGGGTTGTGGGGGCTCTTAATTTTGGAGAGACTTTGAAACATGTTCTTAAATATCACATGGAGTTTAGTGTGGACTATGGAAAAGGGGCTGATATGTCGAGAAGGGTCAAAAACATTGCTAAGCTGGAGTTCCCACGAGTGAAAGGAGCAGGAGACAAAGGAAAATACAGTTATAAATATGAAGAAGAGCCGCGGAAGGGACATGGAAGGGACTTAAGGGCCTCGGATATAAGATTACCAGGTTAATGCGCTAGATTGATGAGATAAAAAGGACTGACAAAACCCGGGACCAGGAGGAAGAGACGCTGGATGAAGATTGGATTTTTTTTTATTTCTTTTTTATTATTAGGATTGTTTTATAAAACTGATGAATGTTAGAAAAATGTTGGAACGAAATTATTTGGCTTTAGCAAAAATGTTTAAAGAATTATGTAAGAATATTATGGTTATGAGAAGTTGGTAAAAATAAGATTTAAGTTTTAGGTTTTAAGGTTTTTATAGTAAGATAAGATTAAAATAGATTAAGGTAATGTAATGACAGAATATTATGAAATATGGAAAGGATTTGCTGCGACAATTAACAACTAGGATACAAAAAAAGGGAGGAGGAGGAGGTCAAAGAAAGAAGGTAATGACAGTTAAGGATTTGAGAATAATGGATTTGTTTTTAAATGTTTGTGGTATATTTTTGTTTTTTGACTGTGTTATGATATTTTTTGATTTTGATTAATTTGTATTGTTTGATGTGGTTTGTTTTTTCTTTGTTTTTTCTTTCTCTTTTTCTACCTTGTTTTCTTTTGTAATTCTAAATTTTTTTCAATAAATATCATTTTAAAAAAAGTAAATAGCCATTATGTTGCATAGAGTCATGCCTGCACCACACTGACTGAAATACATGCAGTGGAAGGCTGTACTAAGGATCCCATTTAAGATGGCAGTGGTGATGGTCAGAACCTCCCAGTGCCATCCAGCACTTATTGCTAGGTTTGCAGAGCCAGCCTAATAATAATAATAATAATAATAATATATTATTTATACCCCGCCCATCTGGCTGGGTTTCCCCAGCCACTCTGGGCGGCTTCCAACAAAACACTAAAATACAATAACCTATTAAACATTAAAAGCTTCCCTAAAGCTGCCTTTAGATAAACTAAAAGTTTGGTAGTTATTTTTCTCTTTGACATCTGGTGGGAGGGTGTTCCACAGGGCAGGCGCCACTACCGAGAAGGCCCTCTGCCTGGTTCCCTGTAACTTGGCTTCTTGCAGCAAGGGAACCACCAGAAGGCCCTCGGTGTTGGACCTCAGTGTCCGGGCAGAACAATGGGGGTGGAGACGCTCCTTCAGGTATACTGGACCAATACATTTTGGCACCTGAGGCAAAACACAAAATGCCCCCAGGCGCCAAGGAAGAAGGGGTGAGTGAGTGAAGATCTACATCAGGAACAAGGGGGGCGGAGGAGGAATCAACTCAGACTTACCTGATGGTTGAAGTTTAAATAAAAAACCATTATGGGGCCCACTGAATCACACTGGGCGGGTGCATAGCCCAGGAGATCCCAGAGGGCAGCCCCCCCACCTCTTCCCTAGGGGGGTCAAGAAATGGCATGGGGGGCAGGCAGCAGTAGAGGCAGCTGATCTGGCCTCCAAGGAGTGTGTGGCAGCAGCTGTGGGTGATGTATTCCTTGGAGGCCGGATCTGCTGCCCCTGTAGATCCTGCTGCCCGAGGCAGTCGTCTCATTGGTGGGTCGGCCCTGAGACTTTGACAACCTGAGCTTTCTCCTTCTAAACACATACAGTATTGTGATCCAGCACTTTCATTCTAAAACATGCATCAGCCCTCAAGTTCTCTATTCCATATTGGAGGAACTGTCGTCTTCCACCATTAGTCAGCTTTCACTTTATACGGCTGTCCAACCTTTCCAAGCCACAGCGCAGGGTGTAGCCCAGCAGGATTTACTGTTAGCCTCTGATATGCTAAAGTTCTGAGTTGTGCTGAAAAGGCAGAAAGTCCAGCCCCTGATCCAAGGATGACTGAAATTGAAAGTACGTAGTTATTTTCAAACTACACAATGTACCCAATTTTAAGTTCTTGGTGCTGCTTGTGTGTGTAAATATATGTAATATACTAAAGAAGCAGTAAATATATATAATATACTAAAGAAGCAGCAATACACAAAAGTTAGGAATGAGGAACTACAAGCCAACGTTATCTTTTCTTGCCCTTTTTTAGTCACATTGATTTTTAAAAAAAAAGTTAATGAAAATGTCAGGGGGAGGCGATTTCCACCACCACCCCGGCAGCACTGGAGGTAATAATCTTCTTTCAGTTCTTTCTTTGCTAATTGAAGAGTTGACATTATCCCCTTCAGTGAAAGAACCCTTTGTTAGAGTTGGTTGCTGGGCAAATCAAAATCTTGGCAGCCGGACTGCAAGGCCTGAAATTCTTCTTTGCACATCACTTTCCTAAAACAGGTAGAGTTTAATGGCCTTTTTAGATGCAAGGCTGCCTCCTGCCTCCCTTTTCCTGCCCTTAAATCTTGCCCTTTAGGGACTACAAATAATTTACTTTTCTTAAAATGGCTATCTACTCGTAGGCCCAGAATTTTTGTGCCAATTATATCCAGAAAAACCAAGGGAAAGGTCAGGCAGTCTAGACGCTAATCCGAAAGTACTGCATTTCTTCCCTAGCTCGTTGCTTAGCAACGTGGATTAACGTTTGAGAATGACGATGACAGTCACTGAGTCTTGCTATGGTATGTGGTGCCAGTGCTGTACCACCTCCTTGGCTCCAGCACTTTCTCTGTTTGCAAAGAGAGTCCAGAAAGCAGCACCAGTGTGGGAAAATCCACTCTCTTCTTTTACTGAAATGTACACCAGTATTGGAGGAAAGGTGTTCAACAAATTCAAAATGTCCTGTGCAAATAAGTGTATAAGAATAGTTCCTCCCTTCCAATTATTTGAAAATGAAACTGTGGCATTGAAATAAGAGTTTTGGGTTGTTGTTTTTTTGCTTTTGTTTTGGAATAGCAACATTGTATGCATATGCCTACCATCACTGCTTGTTTCATTAGTAATTATTATTGAATTCATTAGGAATTATTGTTGAATATTTTCTTCCCCAGTCACTTCTAGGGGAGCTCACTAGATTTAGGTGAACATAATTTAGCCTGTATGTGCAATTGGGAATTATGATTTCTTGAGAGAACTTTATTCTCTGTGAGAGTAGGTCATGGACAGATAATCTAGTAATTAATTCAGGGTGAATAAATTCATAGGGTTAAAGGGGGGATGATAAGAAGTAGGATCACGGTGGCAAGCAGACCTTGTCCTCAATTCTCTGCATGTTCACTAGATTTAGTTCAGGCATAGGCAAATTCAGCCCTCCAGATGTTTTGGGACTACAACTCCCATCATTCCCAGTTAACAGGGCCAGTGGTCAGGGGTGATGGGAATTGTAGTCCCAAAACATCTGGAGGGCCGAGTTTGCCTATGTCTCATTTAGGTGAACATTATTTAGCCCTTATGTGCAATTGGGAACTTTGATTTATTGAAAACCTAAAAGGGGAGCTTCCCATATAGTGCATCTGCTCTTCCTTGGATATATCCCAGGAAGAGCAAGCTACTACAGATATAACTTAACAGCTAAGTCACAGTTATCACCATAAATTTCAAAACGATCCACCTTTATTGTATTTCTCATCCTTAAGGCATTAGCTGCTGAAATGCATGGGAAGGGGACTTCTTAACTCTTCGTAAGTCTGTTGCCAGAACTACCTTCTGCTTTGCTGTTCACCTGAAGGCAATGGTTAATCATTTCACTTTCAGCTTGTTTATTTTTCCTCTGTTTGGTTCTGGACTTTGTAGTCTGCCTCTTTATTAATAAGCCTGATTCCGTGCCGAAGGGGTTGTGGAAGTCAGCAAATCCAGCAGAAGGGATATATATTTTCTGCCTCCAGGCTTCTGATGTAAACAGTGTGTGAAGTCCAGTTTAAAGAATTGAGAAAGGAGGTATAATTTTTTACTTTCACTACAGGTGTGAAAATGTTTAAAGCCAGCACTGCAGAAGCATATTTATTTATCATTCAGGGGAGTAATTAGCTATTTTCAGACATTTGTATATGAGGGCTATAGCTCAGTGGTTGAGAATCTGCTTTGCTCACAGAAGGTCCCAGGTTCAGTCCCTGGCATCTTCAGGTAGGCTGGGATAAAGCTCCCAGTCTGAAACCTCAAGAGACCCAGCTCATCATAAATCAATCACATTTAAGTAAACAGGTCATGTTTTCCCATGAGAAATAGCTGGGGTTGTACATTATCAAGGAGGCGGTGATATGTGGTTTTATGTTGAATGGTGGTGATGGCTGAAGTGGTGAGAGTGTGTGTCTATCTAGCATTCTGTAATAGTAGGCAGAGCAGATGTAGCCAGGATGAGGAACCTTATGGGATGTTCAAACAAGCAGAAGGGCTGTCACATGAATATGGCTACTTGTTTAATGCGGAACTAGCTTTGGTACTAACAAAAGGAAGAGAAACACTAATCGGAGCAGGACATGGGACGGGAATCATCTGCATCCTTCATCTAATGCCCAATGGACTGGCTCTAACAATCAAATAGTGCTGCTTGTCAACTGTATTTGAGAGCAGTCTGTTTCATGCTCTGTGCATCTGAACGGGAAATGCTGATGCTAGCTGTTGCGAAGCTTTCTTGTTTCATGGGTGCTTGTGAACGATTGGCAACCAAACATTCACACTGTCTAAAGGGAAAAGCAAAGTTGAGGTGGCTGGGGCAATAACCTTTCGATAGGTAGCGTTCCTGGTGGGAAAACATTGCTGGTACATGAGGGTTTGGATAGTGTGTAATATTCCTCCTTTTCTGGTAGGGTTTTCTACTTCACTTACTATTGTAACTAACAGACTGTTGACCTTCCCTGCCCCCCATAAATTTGGTGGGCACAAGCACATGCTATAAATCTACCTCTCCTAAAAATGGGTTGCTGTGACCAATCACAGCGCTGCATCTTTTAATAGCTATTTGTGCCCTAAAAGTGGTGGAAAGATGCATTAGAATCTGTGCTGTACTACTTTCAACATGGAGACAAATTAAAATCTTAGGTACACATTTCCAGAGAATTAAAAAGGAAGGGAATAAAGTTCACCTAGAGGCTAGATGGCAAAACATGAAAAAGGAGACTGCAAAGCTGATACTCCCCCACCCTTTTATTCTTGGACCATCCAAATAAGGGTTCACACATCACATTGTTAAGCGTTCACCAATATGTATCTGAGTTGGAAGAGAAATTAACCCTCTTATACCTGCCCTCCTACCTTTTGGACAGAAGGAACCTTTGCCATAAGTCAAACTTACCATTTCTGTAGGCTGGAAATACCAGGCTTTTCAGCTTCTAGATAATTAACAATTGTCAGCAGAACAATGGCAGCATTGTGACATGTGAAAAGAAACCCAATGAGCCAATTCTTTTGCGTAATACTGTATTATGGTTCCATGAATACTGGCATGATTTACATTAAGAGTATGCACCGATCAGTTCTCAAACATTAAATTAAGATCTGTCTCTTGTTCTGGAAAGGGTTAGGCAGCATTATATGATGCATGTGTTGTTAATTTATATGGCACCCAACTGTTAGTGTACACTGCCCCCCATCAGCCTTAACCACAGGATGTAATTATCCTAATTTTAAATGTGGGGAAGTAATGCATTGTGTTGGAATTTGAAGCCAGATCACCTGTTTGCAAACTTTGTTACCGAAAGCAGCTTATGTGCATTTTAAAGTTAGCCATGAAGTTATCCCAAAGCCATTTTAAAGGCCCCTAATTAGAAAACAATTTAAGAAGAACAGAAGAGCAACCCTGCTGGATCAGGTCAAAGGCCCATCTAGTCCAGCATCCTCCCAGTGGCCAACTAGATGCCTATGGGAAGCCTGCAGCCAGGATCTGAGGGCAGCTGCAGCAGCAGCAGCACTTTGTCCCCTTGAAATTCTCAGCAACTGGCATTTATTGCCATACTACTTCCGACAGTGGAGGTAGGACATAGCCCCTAGTAGCTAGTAGCCACTAATAGTCTCATCCTCTTTTAAATCCATTTCCTCAGCAGTATTTGAATGACGTGCTTCAATCTGTTTAATCATGTTTGCATGTACTAAGATGTGTGTGTTTTCATATTTGGGCATTTTAAGACAAATCAATTTATAGCTACTTCTTTTCAAAAATCCACAGTGATCAGTACAACTTGCTAACAAAACCTTTCATAAGAAATGCGCAGTATCCCTTTTTCTCTCATACTCTCTTAATAGACTCAGTTCATCATGCCACCCAGTCCCTAAAATCTCACTCTTCTCCCCCATCTCACACACTTTCACATCACCTGCTCAATGAAGTCGAGCCCCAGTCATAGAAAACAAAGCAGCAACTTTATCAGCCAAGTTTTGGACTACAAAATTACTTTCCTTTGTACTGTTCCCCTTTGTTCTCACTCTTATGGTTGTGTCTGTCCGTCATGTTCCCTAGCCCTTGTTACATTAACAACTTCTCCAAAGTTTGTGCTAGTTGTACGCACAGCTGGCTAATATGAAATGTATTTTGGCTATTCAGTTAATCAGTTAAAATCCAAATCAATGCTAGTGGGCACTAGTAAACTATCAAGCTTATATTCTAATTGACAATTTTGTTGGTGCTTGCCCGGAGGTATTTTGGTTCATAGAAATAATAGAATTGTAGAGTTGGAAGGGACTCTGTGGATCTAGTCCAGACTTCGTCAACCTCGGCCCTCCAGATGTTTTTTGCCTACAACCCCCGTGATCCCTAGCTAGCAGTACCAGTGGTCAGGGATGCTGGGAATTGTAGTCTCAAAACATCTGGAAGGCCGAGGTTGAGGAAGCCTGGTTTATACTAGTCCTGATCTAGTCCAACTCCCTGCAATGAAAGAATATACAGGGATCAAACCTGCAACCTTGGCATTATCAGCACCATGCTCTAACCAGCTGAGCTATTCATAGAACTGTAGAATTGGAAGGGATCCCATGGGTCATCTAGTCCAACGCTCTCAAAAGATTAAATTGGATTAAAACAGGTTGATAACAGATATCTCTCTCAATAGGCATTACTTAGACTTAGTATTTGGGATAAGGATAGTAAACTTAAGACAGATATTTTGCCATGGATAACTTACATGCTTCATAAAATTCTTTTCTTTATTCCCCAAGTGTACTTCAAAAGATTAACGTGTCACTTTGGAAGTTTATTTGGGGGGTTTATCCACTTCATTGGGCACTCAAAAACATTGGAAGGAGGATTTAATTTTCTAGACCATAGTTTATACCAGGCTTCCTCAACCTCGGCCCTCCAGATGTTTTTGGCCTACAACTCCCATGATCCCTATCTAGCAGGACCAGTGGTCAGGGATGATGGGAATTGTAGTCTCAAAACATCTGGAGGGGCCGAGGTTGAGGAAGCCTGGTTTATACTATAAGACACACCTTTTAGCTCCTATAAATAACAAACAAGCTTTTCTTATCTGAAAATACTCCTTCATGGGTAATCTTGGAAACTATATATTTGGTACCCTTTTATGGGATGGATGATGTTAGGGTGTAGGTATATAAAAAGGAGAGGACTTTTTCCACCTGTAATTTCAGTGGCTAGGGAGTCCTGGAAAATAAACCCTACGTTCATGAGTTTTTATACCACTGCAAGTGTGTAAAAATGCCTGCTGCACTGTCATAGAGAAATTTGCAAGCTGATGCTTCATTATTTGTTTGGTGGAGACAGCTGCTGCAGAATGTGATTTAAAGCTTTACAGTGGTACCTCGCAAGACGAATGCCTCGCAAGACGGAAAACTCGCAAAACGAAAGGTTTTTTGGTTTTTTGAGTTGCTTCACAAGACGATTTTCCCTATGGGCTTGCTTCGCAAAACGGAAACGTCTTGCAAGTTTGTTTCCTTTTTCTTAAAACCGTTAATACAGTTGTGACTTGACTTCGAGGAGCAACTCGTAGCACGCGGTGTGGTAGCCTTTTTTGAGGTTTTTGAAGACTTTGGTGATTTTTGAAGCTTTTCCAAAACTTTTCCGACACCGTGCTTCGCAAGACGAAAAAACTCACGGAACGAATTAATTTCGTCTTGCGAGGCACCACTGTATATGGTAACTGCATATTGCATGTGCACTGGCTCTGAATTCATCTGTAAAGAACATAGTTACCCTAAGCAAAGCATGAAGTTCCCTGTGATGACATGAGTGCCTTGTGAACTGGCATTATTAATTTCTAGTAGAAATATTATAATTAATCAATACTGTAGTAGTATAACATTACAGTCATACCTCGGGATAAAAGTGCTTCAAGTTAAGTATTTTCGGGTTGCGCTCCGTGGCGACCCGGAAGTAACGGAGCGCGTTACTTTTGGGTTTTGCCGCGCGTGCATGCGCAGACGGTCAAAATGACGTCATGCGCGGAAGCAGCAAAACGTGACCCGCGCATGCGCAGATGCGGGTTGTGTTCGCTTCAGGATGCGAACAGGACTCTGGAACGGATCCCGTTCGCATCCCGAGGTACCACTGTACATTGTTCTGCTTTTGAAACTATTATTGGGATCAAACATAGTTATTCCAGCAGCACAAAGATTTCTGCTTCTGCATTGGAACAGTCTCTCCCTCTCTTCTCCCGTGTGCCCCCTAAATCAGCTCTAGGGGTTCGTCCAATATTCTGGAGCAGATTTGTGAAGGACACAGGGTGTGTGTGAAGGTAGAAGCTGGGAGTGGGGAATCCCATTGTGCTGGCCATAATGTTTTGTGCTGACAGGACATAGTTGGTGAATACTACCCTATATTACATTGCTGGCTGCAGTAACTGTGAGATACAGATAATATCCTTTGACAGTTTTCATCTTCACCCATATCCAGCTAATTGCAAAGTCCTAGAACCGAAACGGAACAAAAGACCATCTTCCACTTGCTGCATCAAGGCAGGATCATGTTTATTATTAGTTCCCAAGCGTATCACTTGTAATTTTGTACAGCTGAATTTTGATTGGAAAAGAGGAATGCTCATAGTATCGGGAATCCTTCATGTTGCACTTACGGACATAAGCAATAATGAATTTCTGAATTCTGCCACACACGCAGCACACTTCCCAATAAGCATGTGAGAGATTTAAGTAGTGAGGAAGTCAAGTTTGTTAGACATGATCTTTCCTCCACAAGTTAATTTTCAGACAAAAATATAGTTTCCCTTTAATCTGATGAATAGAATGGATTTGTAAAGACAGGGTCAAGCAATTTCTCTTTTCTCAGTTGGCCTTTGTATTTTGTAAACAAGTTTATATGTGTCTGTGTCTCTTGTTTTGTGTTTGTGGTGAACGTGACTAAGTGTGGGAACAGGATGAATGTTGTGCAAGTCTGTAGGCAGCACTTAGAACAAGAAGAGCTCATGGAAAGCTGTGATGATTTAACATTAGTAACTCTTGAGTGAACTTCTCAGTAGTTAAAATCATGACCGTAGTGGATTTTTTACCCTTCCTGCCAGCTGCAGTAACAATTGTGCCTCATTTCTGAAAAGGGGTTACAGCAAAAGATGGATCTCCATTTACCACCATAAATAGGATATGGGGCCATGCTGTTTGCTTAAGGCTTGGCAGAAGAACATTTATTAAGCCCCTGTTGGGCTGCCATAGATTGCTGGTGGGCTGTGCTTGGCTTGATGGGTCACAAGTTGCACAGGCCACACTTAAGGTGATCATTGCCGTGTAGCTTTTAGGAAAACTTAGGCGCCTGAGGGTGGAAAAAAATCCAGTATGTGTTTGAGGTGGGTCACACCCAGTTGGTTTCACGTTCAGATCTGCATGGACCCATCTCTCGAACAATTCCAGTGTCTGTGGAATGCATTACTCATATGCAGTCTGGATCAGCTGCAAAACTGCACTCTTGCTTTGCCACACAATCAATCCTTTTTCCAATATGAGATGAATTTGTTTTGCCCTCTTCAAATGTGAACAGGCTCTGCAAGGGCATCAGACTGTCTCCAGTGACTTTCTACATCTTAAATATTATTTCCATGATAACCAGATTTTTAATAAAAAAAGAAAAGAAAACTAAGCTCCATAGGCATGACACACTGTTGAGCTCTTGGGTTGCAGACTTATTACTTATGCTGCTCAATTTTGTGTGCTGTCACCTACAGAGTACATCTAAGCAAATTTAATTATGCTCATGAATTGGGAATTAGAGGTCAGAGATGAGGGTCCTGTAAAGTACAGTTGCTAGTGGTCAAATAAAGTACAATTACTGGTGGTGGAACTATTTTCAGTTGTAGTTTTAATTCCAGTAGGAAAAAAGCTACCTGAAAGGAGTTGGCTATAATCACTTCAGGGCTGGATTTGAAAACAGTTGAGTCTTATCAACAAAAGGATCCTTTTATTCCAGGAAAGCAATGTGATGGGGCAAGTTGTGTGAGTTGCTTTCCTTCCTGACTAATAATCACTCATTCATGTCAAGGGCCAAACTATGTGTTATGCTAAAGTCCATGACTAGAACTCTTCATGTAATTTTCTTCTTAAAAGTGGCTGGAGCGGTAGCCATAGCACAAGTTGTGAGGTGTCAAACCAATTTTCCTTGCAGCCCTATATGCACGTTGGTATCCAAAACACTACCATGCCCGGAATCCTAATGTCTAACTTCAGACTAAGTTGGAATAAAAGAACTGGGGGACGGGGGGACTGGGATGGGACCTCCAAATTCTGTCCATCAGAAGCGTGGAACTTCTTATGCATGGAAGGTCTACTGTTTACTTTGCTATTGTTATGAATTGCTTTTCATAATAATAAGAATAATACCTTTATTGTCAATGTACAACCTGTGCAAAATGAAATTAACCGAGCCTCTCCCCCAACAAACACTCAGTCTCATTGCACTCTGTGTGCTTGTCGCACAACACACCAACCCCGAAAGTCAGTTGCACTATATTATTTTCCATTCAGCAGCCTAACAACCCATGGATAGAAACTGTTTTTTAGCTTGTTGGTATGACTGATTATACTTCTATATCTCCTGCCCAAGGGTAGAAGATTAAAGAGGTGCTGGCTGGGGTGTGAATCGTCCCTGAAAATTTTTCTCACTCTCCTAAGGTAACGATCCTTTGTGATGTCATCTAGCGGGCTCAGGGGACAGCCCATGATATCATGTGCTGTGTTCACCACCCTCTGTAAAGACTTTCTGTCTGTGGCTTTTCATAAGAAGCAAAACCCAACAATACATTTCATCTAAGTGATCATCACGGTTGATATACGGTACTTACCATGGTCTTCGTAATTGGGCAGAGTATTTGCTATGCATGCAGGGGGTCCCAGGTTTGATCCCCGGCATCTCTAGGTAGGGTTTTGGGTTGTCCTCTGCCTGAGCCCCTGGACCCTTTAGACTGTATTGAGTTAGTTGGACCAGTGGTCTGATCCGGTATAAGGCAGCTTCCTATGTCCCTATAATAGACCAAATTAATCTATATGCCCTCAGTTCATACTGTTTAGCCTCTATCACTGTAAGCCTTGTGTAATTTTGGCACCAATTTGCCAGAAAAAGGGAAGGGATCTACGGTAATTATGGTCTAATTTCGGCAACTCTCATTGGAGTGGATGAGTGGGTGAAGCAGAGAATAAGTAAAAGTTTAGAGAAAATAGCTGTCTTCCTCTTGTTGCTCCATCTGAGGAAGTGTTACGTTAAGTATGCTTGGTGGATAGTTTTTGTTTTATGCTCAGGATCTTATTATAATAGTAGGGGTGGAAGGGATTCCTCCTGCCCACCCCCCCCACCCCCCAGTTCTGGTTGGTTAGCATCCTTGGAGTGGGCAGAATGAGAGCTTCTTCCATAGAATGTGACAGCAATTAACTCTCTTAATTCATCTGGAATCTTTTGCCAAACTTTTCCTTGCCCGTAGGCACTCTTGGCACACGGTACACTTCTATTTGAGCTTGCTCTGTACATGTTGCACGCTGTAATCCACATGATGTAATCT